CTTTTCTTAGCCAAAGAAGTCAGCAGTCTGAAGACATTTATGTGGTCATGACTATCTGCCAGGATATATGGAATATGGTACCTTCTCCTACTTGCATATGCATGTTTTCAAACTGCTAGATGGATGGGATCTGGGAAAAGGAGATGAGTCATGCCACACTCAGATATCAAACCTGGGCTGTTAGCTTTCCACTGAGCCATTGCAGGTCACCAAACCAGCATAAAATTCTGAAAAGGAAAAAGTGAAGTATGTTAAAATTACAAGATGGAGAGATTATATTATTTTTGTGCAGACACACAAAAAGTATTTGATCAATATTATTCAAACATTTATAAATTCTTCCCTATCATTTTTCTTAGCTGACCTATGGCTCTGTTCCAGTCATGGAGAAAGAGACTCAAGCAGTTTACTTCCAACAAATGCTTCCAAATGAATCTCACCAACATAGAGGGCTCCTACAGCTATTGCTCTATTTTAGATGGATCTGGATTGGAGTTCTTGTGAATGATGAGAATGGAGAGAAATTTGTACAGGAGGTGTTTCCCATGTTCTCCCATCATGGCATCTGCTTTGATTTCATACAAGACTTCGCTAAGGTAGCTTTTTACAGTGATTTTATTGATATAGTAGATGAAGGACTCCAAATATACCAAGTTCTGATGAAAAGCACAGCCAATGTGATAATCTTGTATGGTGAAAGTAGGTCCATGTCTACCCTGAGAACATTCCTCCAATTTTCAGAAGTGGAGGATATTCCAAGGAAGGCAAAAATCTGGTTCATAACAGCTCCGACAGATTACACCTCAGTTTCCTTTCACACATCTTGGGATATCCACTTCCTGCAAGGTGCTTTATCCTTTGCAATTCACACAAAGGAGGTCCAAGATTTCCAGAAATTTATTGGAAGCATAAATCCAAGGAATAATCAGCATGATCATTTTCGGAAAGATTTTTGGGAACAGGTATTCAATTGTTTCTTCTCCCATTCTGTGGCAGAGAAACCTGTGAAAAAATGTACTGGATGGGAAAGGCTTGAGACCCTTCCTACGTCTGTGTTTGAGACACTCATGAGTGGCCAGAGCTACAACATTTACAATGCTGCCTATGCTGTGGCATATGCTTTGCAATCTCTGTATTTGTCCAAATCCAGACATAAAGCAAGAGTGGAAAAAGGAAGGAAACAATTTCATAATCAAGTGATGTGGCAGGTAAGACTTTGAGCAGAGAAATGCAGAAATCTGGATTTATATTCTTGCAGGCATCTGGTCTTTATAATTTAAATTATTCCATCCTCCACCATTCAGTCAGAACTGAAGAAGCTTGGTGGATGAGAAGCAAAGCATCTTTAAGGAAATACAAAATTAAGTTACCTTTTGAAAAAGCACCTTTGGGACAGTCTGATTGACCAAGAATCTCTATAGTCAATATTCTCTAAGGGTATCAAAATTAGGTTTAAAAGTCAAATGAAACAGTTTTTTAAGCAACTGAAATATTTATATCATCATATGGAAATCACAAAAGGCATTCTTCAAAATTATAAACACATCCCTTATAATTTACTTTTGTCCATAAAAGTAACTGCCATCAGTTCACTCTTTAAGTAAATCTATCACCTCTAGATGATGTTTTGAATCATCATTTGTTCTAAATGTGTGGGTTTTGCTTTTGAATGCTTGCATTTTGTCAGCATTGTTTTTTACATTGCTGAAAGTATATTCAGGTTCTCATTTTAAGGCATTTCCTGATGAGGTTCTCCTCATGTAAACCATAAATGGAAGAGGAAGGATTGATAATATTTTGACATCCTTACTTAAGAAATAAGCAGGATCCTGGAATGGTCCATTTCCATCAGGGATAATATTTCATAGACTATTTGAGTCTCACCTGCATTTCTACACATAGAACAACAACAACAATGTTAACAACAACAACACATATTAACAACAACAATGCATGATACAACAATATTTAATTTTAGAATAAATGAATGGAAAAGAAATAGAACAAGTTTATATGATTCTAGAAACAAGGTTCTAGAAGAAACAAGGGAGAGAGTGAAGGTATTTTTCACATTTCAAGGTCTTAATAAAAGAGGAGCAAGGAAGGATGTTATGTTGGGCAATACCTCTTTCCAGACCTACAGTATGTACTCCTAATGAGGGAAAGAATAATAGATTCCAAAATGGAATTTAGGTCATCAAATCCAACCCCTTCTCAGTGTAAGATTTCAAATTCCATCAACATCAACAGACCTTGATTCTGCCTTTTCTAAAAAATAATCAGAAATTCCTATTGCTGAATGTCTTCTAGTTGGATATCATTTCTTAGTTAGAGTTTTATTTTCTAAGGAGAGAAGCAACCTAGAACTAAGGAGAAATTTCCTGACAGAACAATTATCCAGTGGAATAGCTTGACTCCAGAAGTTATGGATGATGCATCACTGGAGATTTTTAAAAAGAGACTGGACAACCATTGTCTGAAATGATATAAAGCCTCAGTATAGAATCTATAACATCAAACAATAACCTTATACATTCTAGTATTTTTATAGATATTTATATGTGATCATCTGGCGTAACTAACTATAGCAGTCAGATGACAGATTGCAGTTTTACAAAAATTTCATTGGTGTTATATTTTGTAATTGCATATTAAGACATTTTTAATTTTATTTCATTAATATGAAATTTTGGAATGGTAAATTGGGGATGAGCAAATTAAAAGTAAAAGGGCCTTAGCCAAGCACAAATTAAATATATCGGAACTGGAAATTTTTTAAGGAATTTGAAGTTTGTAAAACAAAACAATTTTTAAAATGTAAATAAATCAAGGAGATGGCTAGTCTATTAATTAAAAAAAGAAAGAGAAAAAAGAATAATCCAGCAGTTACAAGAGAAAGCAGGGAATCTACAAAACAATGTGGAAAAGAAAAAAAGATTGCACAAGAAATTTTTAAGGAGCTTTATAAACAAGAAGTGATTGCAGATGAGAAAATAAAACATTACCTAAAAGGAGAAGGTATATCAGTATTAATAGAAGAGGAAAGAGCAATGTTAAACAGGGATATTACAATAGCAGAATTAAGAGAAGCAATTCAGAGACAAAAAAATAATAAAACTCCAGGGACAGATGGACTACCAAGGGAAATCTACATAAGCATAGGTGAAGCAATTGAATTAGTACTATTGGAGGTTTGTAATGAGGTACTAACAGAGGCAAAGCTACGGGATTCATGGAGGGAAGCATATATCTCTTTAATATTGAAAAAAGGTACTGATACCATGCGGATTAAAAACTATAGGCCAATTTCTTTACTAAATGCTGATTATAAAATTTTTATGAACATTATAGCAGAAAGAATGAAAAAATGATTAAATGGGAAATACATACCAAAATGGATTTTTACCGATGGGACAAATAAAGAATAACACTAGAACAGTAATCAACATACTAGAGTATCATGTGGCCCATTCAGAAAAACAGGTGGCCCTAGTTTTTCTGGATGCTCAAAAGGCCTTTGATAAAGTTAACTGGCAGTTTATGATCCAACAGATAAAAGGAATGAGATTTGGAGATAGATTTGAACACATGATAAAGTCAATATACCCCTCCCAGAAAGCAAGTGTAATAATAAATGAGGAACGTACAAATCCATTTGATATAATGAAAGGAGTGTGGCATGGCTGCTTTTTATCCTTATATTAGTGATTCTGCTAATAAGAATAAGATCGAATTGGGAGATAAGGGGGCTTAAAATAAAACAAGAAGAATGTAAGGTCCAAGCGTTTGCCGATGACCTAGTATTCTTCACAGAAGAACCATTGGAGATGGGACCAAAATTAATACAGAAGATAGAAAAAATTGGGGAAGTAGCTGGCCTTACAATTAATAAGGAGAAAACAAAAATGAAAATTTAAAATTCTAACAGATAAACAGAAGAAGGAATTAGAGAAAGGAATAGGAATAGGATTGCAGACTGCAAAATAAGTTAAATATTTGGGCATTTGGCTGACAGCAATATGCTCATCAATAAAATATGATAATTATATTAGTTTAGATTTTGAAGGGTGAGCAAAAATATAGTTATCCTTGTTAGGAAGAATTGTGGCCATTAAGATGAATATTCTATCAAAACTACCCTACCTGTTTCAAATGATCGTCATGAAATTAGACAAGATTTTTCTTTTCAGAGCTAAACAAAATAATCACAAAATATATAGGGGCGGGCAAAAGAGCAAGAATAAAATTAAGTGCATTGCAGGATAATAGAAGCCTTTCTACACAAAGAGATTCACAACAACAATGTATAATATAATAATGTACAATTTTAGAGCAAATGAATGGAAAAGAAATGGAACAGGTTCATATGCTTCCAGAATCAAAGATAATAGATTGCATTTTTATGAAATTTTCATTGGGATTATATTTTATAATTGGGTATTAATACATTTTAAATTTGATTTCATTAATATGAAATTTTGGAATGTGTGTGGAGTTATTTGATATTTTAAAGCTTTCTTTGTTTAAAGAAACATCTCTACAATTTGTCTCATTCTGTCTCTACATTTCAATATTTCAGCTTCATTCTTTTCTAAAAGGTATTACATTCAATAACAGTGTTGGTGAAAAAATCTCCCTTGATAAAAATGGAGAATTCATTGGTGGATTTGATATTATCAACTGGATCACATTCCCAAACCAGTCCTTTCTTAGGGTCAAAGTTGGAATGGTAGATCCCACAGCTCCACCAAACAAGTTCTTCAATATTTCCATAGATTCCATCATATGGCCAGCAGGCTTTAGTAAGGTTAGTCATTTGAATCTAGATGGTTACCCTTCATTTATGTAGCATAAAATATCTTTCCTATTAGTTTATCATAACCTCATTTTTAACTAACCTAGGTACAAATATCCTAGAGAAGGGAAAATATCTGTAAGAATGCTTACTTTTCTAGTAGCTGGTTTACAATATTGTACTTTTTATTTTGTTCCCGTTAATTATGGACAAGCAATTTGCTGGTTTTGATGTAAAAGATGCAGTTTGGTGCACTAGATTTCATCAATCTAGTGACATCAAAATTAACAAATTGAGAAAATTTATTGAATCAGTATAAAAATAGCCTTTAGATAGTGGGGAATGAGGGTTATAGAAAAGCCACCAATACCAATCATAATAGATATTCAATTATTATTTTTTCAGAAAAAAATACATCTCACAATGATGTCATCATGTTATTTTTGCTTATCAATATATATTTTTATTCTGTTGATTCTATAATAATAATATTTCTCCAAGCACTACCTTTCCCCTCTGTATCTTAAAATATTCTTCTTCATTCACTGATAGGAATTGCCTTTGTCATTATGTAACGATCCTTGTGAGACAGGATACAGCAAGGCCAAAAAAGAAGGGCAGTCATTTTGTTGCTATGATTGCCATCTGTGTCCAGAGAGGAAAATAACAGATGAGAAAGGTAGGGAATTTCCAATTATAATGGGACTAAGCCATTAGGGTACAACACTGTGCATAATCCACGCTCTATTGTGTTCTTTTTCAGACATGGATGACTGTTCTCTGTGTCCAGATGATCATTTTCCAAATCTCCATCGAAATATGTGTATTCCGAAGCAGATCAGCTTTTTGTCCTACAAAGAGTCTATGGGAATCAGTCTAACTGTTCTTTCTCTTTGCTTTTCACTAAAGACAACTTTGGTGCTCACAATCTTTGTTAGATATAAAGACACCCCTATTGTCAAAGCCAACAACCGGAATCTTACTTACACTCTCCTTGTTTCTCTCCTGCTCACTTTCCTATGTGTGTTTTTATTTATTGGGAAACCTGATAAGATTATGTGCCTCATTCGACAATCAGCTTTTGGGCTCATCTTCTCTGTGGCAGTTTCTTGTGTATTGGCCAAAACATTTGTTGTGGTTCTAGCATTCATGGCCACCAAACCTGGATCCAAATTGAGGAAATGGGTGGGTGGAAGAATAATCAGTTACATTATTTTTTCCTGCTCCCTTGTTCAATTAAGTTTTTGTGCTGCATGGCTGATAATGTCACCACCTTACCCAGATTTTGATGCACACTCAATCTCTGAAGAACTCATCCTAGAATGTAATGAAGACTCGGCCATGTTCTGCTGTGTTTTGGGCTTTATGAGTTTTCTTGCTCTGGTTAGCTTCTCTGCTGCTTTTCTAGCTAGGAAGTTACCTGACAGTTTCAATGAGGCCAAATTTATTACTTTCAGCATGTTGATCTTCTGCAGTGTTTGGCTGTGCTTTATTCCAACCTATCTAAGCACAAGAGGGAAATATCTGTTGGCTGTGGAGATCTTCTCCATAATCTGCTCCAGTGCTGGATTATTGGTGTGCATCTTTCTTCCCAAATGTTTTATCATTTTGATGAGACCTGAATTGAACAATAAACATCATCTCATGAAAAGATAGTTTTGAACCTTTGTCTGTTTGCCTCTGAGTTTCTGTACATACCCATATAATTTGATTGTCCTTGGAACTATTACTATTGGGAGAATTTTTGTTTGGTAGAACAGATTGAATGAACAGCTATTTCTCTTATTTTCTTTTCCTGTTGCTTCTCCTTTCGGTATCTTTACTACAAATCAACTATTTTCACCATCCTCCATCTGTGTTTTACTACAGCCTGTTTTCCTGTTTACTGTTGAAAATTTTCTAAAAAAACTCGTAATATTTTTTTAGGTTGATTTTTGATGGAGATCAGGAGAGGGACCCTACTTTTGCTCCTCTTATCTCTTATTTTGGCCAGATAATTCATTCATTCATTCATTCACTGTATGTTTGAGTGTCTGTTTGAAGATATAAAACTATGTTTCATTGCATATAAAACTGTATTGTTCTCCAAAACTGTATTGTTCTCCAATCTGCAGTGCTGACCTTCTTAATCTCCTTAGAAATTGTTTTATTTTATTTATTTATTTGTGAAAAGCTTACAATATAACAGAAACAAGAATAAACATAAGTTTAAATACAAGAAATAGGAACTAATAATTGGGAACCATAGGACAGGGATGGTAGGCACGATTGTGCACTTATGCCCACCCCTTACAGACCTCTTAGGAATGGGGTGAGGTCAATAAAGGTTAGTCTGAGGGTAAAGGAGTGAGGGTTTGAGCAGGTGATAACAAAATCAAACAGTGAGTTCCAGACATTGACCACTCTTTTGCTGAATTTGAGTTTGGAGTGGTTTACATTTAGTTTATATCTGTTGTGCATTCTAGTGTTGTTGTTAAAGCTGAAATATTCATTAAGTGGTAAGATGTTGTAACATATAATTTTATGTACTATGCTTAAGTCTAATCTTAGTCATCATAGTTCAAGGTTGTCTAAGCCAAGAATCTCAAATCTAGTGCTGTAGGATATTCTTTTGTGAACAGTGGAATGTAGTATTCTTCTGGTAAAATACTTCTGGACTCGTTTAATTGTATTTATGTCAGATATACCGTGCGGATTCCAGACAGCAGAGCTGAATTCAAGTATTGGTCTAGCAAAGGTTTTGAATGCTCTAGTTAGCAAAACAGTATTACCAGAGTTGAAGCTTTGTAAAATTAAATTTACAACTCTTAAAGCATTTTTGGCAATACTGTTGCAGAGAGCTTTGGCACATAAATCATTCTATATGAGAACTCCAAGGTCCTTGACAAAGTGAGGATCATCAACAAGGTCATATCCATCTAGTTTGTATTTGGTATATACATTTTTGTTACCAATGTGTAGAACAGAGCATTTGTTGATAGATATTTGGAGTTGCCAATTATTAGACCATTCAGACACATAATCAAGGTCTTTTTGAAGGACGGTAGCATTGATGGTGGTGTTGAATAGTTTTACTTCATCAGCGAAAAGGACACAGTTGCTAATAAGGTGATCATAAAGGTCATTTATATAGAATGTAAAGAGTGTGGATTCTTGAATGCTCCCTTGTGGGACACCGCTGATAAATGGTGCAGGGTTTGATAGGGTGTTTCCTATTTTTACTATTTGTTGCCTGTTTGTCAGGAAGACAGTAATCCACTTGTGAAGGGATCTGGAAATGCTGTAAGAATTTAATTTTAATAGTAGTTTGTCATATACCACTGAGTCAAATGCTTTGCAGAAGTCAATGTAAATTACATCTATTGCTTTACCCTGGTCGAGAAGTGTAGTCCATATGTTTTTGCAGTGTAGAAGTTGCAAATTGCAGGACAATTTTTTTCTGAAACCAAATTGTTTATTAGAGAGTAAGTTGTTAGACTCTAGGTGGAAGGTAATGCATTGATTAATAATTGATTCCACAACTTTGCATGTGAACACAACACAATGAGATTGGTCTGTAGTTTTCAACCAAGCAAGGGTCACCTTTTTTGAAAATAGGGATGACCTTTGCTAAAGACCATAGGTTTGGTAAAGAGCTGGTTCTGAATGATAACTCATATATTATGCTTAGTGGTTCTGCTATGGTAGTGGAGAGCTTTTTTAAGAAGAATGCACATAATCCATCAGGGCCAATAGATAAGGATGGCTTAAGGTGGCATACTGCATTTTCTACGTTATCTTCAGTAAAGTCAATTTGTAGATCATTGCAGTTAGTTGTCATATGGTTGGGAAATGAGGGGCATGAGCCATTACTGTTAACGAAGACTGAACTGAAGAATGTGTTGAAGAGGTTTGACTTAACAGTTTCATCAGTATAGTCTTTCCCATTAGGACCTTTTAGAGGTGGGATGGTTTTTGAGTCTTTAAGTTTGGTGTTTACAAAGTTATAGAAGGCATGGGTGGATTTTGTGCGTAGAAGATTTTCTTCTTGCTTGCAGTGGTAATAGGTGCATTCTGCCTTTATTTGTTGGCATAAGGTGTTGTATCAGTTTTTAAAGTTAGCTATGTATTTAGTTTTGTTTTTATACCTTAAGGATTTTTTTTAGATTGAAGTTTTCTTATAATTTTGGGTAAATTGTTTTTGTTTGTTTGTTTAGGAGGTTACTAATGGAATATATAGTTTAATGATTCTTTCAAGTTCAAAAAGAAGACGTTATAATGATTTTCTGTAGTTACAGCCAGAGAACAGAATATGCCAATCAAGAGATGATAAGTCGGCAGCTATGAGTTCATAATTGGCTTTTTTTAAATTGTATTTTGGAGATCCATCATTATGATCCTCTTTTAGTGGGTGTAAATTTAGACAAAGTCAATCATGCCATGGTCACTGTTTGAAAATGGTTCCTGTATTTGTAGGCCATAAATTGAGTTTGAGCTGTTGCAGAAGATGAGGTTGAGGCAGTTGTTTAATCTGGTGTTGTTATATACTAAATGATCTAGTCCCAGCATGATAACGGCATTGTATAGGGTTGAATGAATGGGTTCAGATGTACATTCATTTAGTGTCCAATTTATAAGAGGTAAGTTGAGGTCACCAAGGAAAATAAGAGGGTGTGGGCAAGAGGCAGTCCATATCAGTAATGAAGTTAGCTTGTTTGCATGAGTTATATCATAATCAGGGGCTTGATAGCAAAGTAAGAAGCGGATTGAGGTATTTAAGGACAGATTACAGACGATGGTTCCAGGAAGAGTAAGCTCTTGTATCATTTGAATCTTTTTTAGATTTAGAGGCTTTTTATAGAATATAGCAACTCCACTTTCTCTACAGATTTCACGATCAGACCGATAAACTTGATATTCTCTTACAGTGGTAATGGAGTCTGGGAAAGATGCATTCAACCACTTCTCACAGACAAATATAATGTTGAATGTGGCTGTGCTTAGTAAGATGAAGAATTCATGCATTTTATTTGCAAGGCTTCTTGCATTGAGTAGTTTGGAAATGTTTCTTTTAGGAGAATTTTTGTTAGGTAGAACTGATTAAATATATAGCATTCTATACGTTCTGTTTTCCAAAACTGGTGTGTGTGTGTTTTAGGAGCAAACCAGAATATGTAGCTAGAAAAATATACATAAAATGCTAATTCATATCTGTCAAATACTGCTGAGAGAACTGAAATGTCATTAGTATCTCATATTTCCCACATAATCTACTACAAACTAAAGATTTGTGAATATGTTTTCTAATTTTCCATCTCATACTGTTTGGTTCACAAGTTCTAAAATTTCTCAAGATGTCTCAAATAGTTAACTTGATATTCATGTTTAACTTTTTAAAGATTTTTTTAAAATATTAGATTGATGTGCATCACTACTTATTGATCTGAGGAGTTTTTGTGACAATTGTACTGAATATTTTATTAAAGTTGACAAAGTTGGACATATAGTTATCTCATCTGTAATTATAAAATTAACTATAATTATCTATGTACCTGTTCCAAATCCCAGAGGACCATAAACACATGTTGTAAAGTTTGATTACCATTCCCAAAGGCAATCCAAATTATTTGTCAGTTGATCACTGATAAATGGACAATGAAAACCTTCCCTAAAAGAGTTGAATGACATTAGGAGGATATTGCATCCATACATGCTAACACTCTGAATGAAGGAATTTTTTTCCCCTTAATTATTTATCCATACAACTGGATCTTCTGATTTCACAGGAAACTTCTACGATTTTTAGGCAAGGTCTTGTAAAATTGCAATTCAATATTCTGATGAATGAAAATAAGTAAACAGACAAAGAAGTTGATTAATTATTGAGGTATCAGCTATAGTTGTTTTCTTGGTGTTGGTACTAATAGTAATGCCTCATACAGCACACAAGATTCCAGATACTAATTGTAAAGTTTTTGATCCTCTTCCTATTCTTCACAAGTACTCTCAATCCGGAGATATGACCATTGCAAGCATTATTTCTCATGTCTATACTTTTTCCAGTCCAATTCTCTTTGATCGTCACCCTTCCAGCGAACTTCAAGATGAAGTGATGTAAGTTGTTCATTTCTTCACACATATTTTTTCTACACCACCATTAATTCACATGACATAAAGGACTTTGAGCTGCTAGAACACATTATACTGTATTCACAGATACTGTCTTCAGAATCATAAAAAGGATATTTTATCTCTATATCATTCTTTATTTTGTTATTCAATTTCTATGATTATTCAAGTATGACTCTATACCAAAAGTCAATATTCTAAGAGTTATGCTAATGCCACAATAATCCATGAATGAATAAAAGCAAGATCTATTTCTAACAATTCTTAGGTGCTGTTCCTAAGCAAAACTTCCTGGAATAGTTTTATATGGCTTAATATTTAGTTAATTGGGCTTAGTTCTCACTGAAATCTAAAAATTCATAGCCAAAGGTCAATTTTTTCACTGAGTTCAAAGTACCTCAAGCATCTCTGTTGATTGAAAACCATTGCTTGAGGTTTATTTAGGGAACATGAAACCATCTGTATCCTAAAAGAATTTTCAAATGAGAAATACTGTTTGTTCAGGAATACAAATCTATAATTTTTATTTTTCCATTTTATTTTTCAGTGAGAAGTGAAATTATATGTGTATTTTACTTTATTAAGTAATGCAATGTAATTGAACTGAAATGTAACACGTGTTTCAGTCTTTAACAAAGGATTTAATTTTCATGACAGGGTTGTATTTCAGAGTTACCAATATATTCTGGCCCTGGTTTTTGCTGCAAAGCAGATCAGTGAAAATCTCCAACTCTTGGCTAATGTCACCCTTGGGTTTCATATCTATAATAGCAATTTTAGTCCAAGTTGGACCTTCCTTGCCTCGATGAGACTTCTTTCCATGCACAGCAAATTCATCCCAAACTATAAGTGTGACTTGGGGAACATTCCCATTGCAGTAATTGGAGGACCTGACATCTGTCTTCACATGTTGAACCTTCTGTCTATCTACAAAATTCCACAGGTATTCCCAAGATCACATAAATTTCTCTCAGTTCCCATTATAACTAGTTGCAATTCTTTAGAAGCAGTGTTTTTGGGACATAGGAAAAGGTTAATTCAAATACCAAGGGAAATATTTCAGTATGAGGTTAGGCTTGAGGGATTTAATGAATTATTTAAAAGAAATGATTCATGATGTATAATAAAATGGACAAAATCTCTCTTTATGAATCATTAAAACAGCTGCATCTTTCTCCAGGTTCTTAAAGCTCCTGTGGAAACTGCTGAAGGCACAGTATTTGCAAAGTATCTGTTTGAAGGAAGAAGTATACATTCCAAATAATTACTTTTTAAATATGTGTAGAGTATCTTCACTTTCTTTTTAAAAATTAAACGTCATTCATTTAGTGAAATAGATACTACATGTTATTTTATTAATATGAATCATGGTAAACTACACATCCTAACTCAATAACTGTGTCTGCCTAGGTATGACAGAGAGTCCCCTCCCTTGGGAAAGGTGATTAAGGAGTTCTTTGGAGTGACATGACCTTAGCCATTTGCAGAATTGGTGATTTTTCATCCTTAATCTCCCTATGCACATTTTGCAAAAAGTGTCTCCAAACCATTATTCTTAGCTTCACAGAGGACTTCTGGGGACCATAAAAGGATGGGTAGCTCCCTTATTCCATACTTTGCATGTCTGATATAATGATCCCATTTGGGTGTCCTCTGGAAGCTTATATTATATTAGTTAGTTGTTCTTCCACTTTAAGTTGTAGGTATTGTTTCCAAATCTGAAGGTCTTAACAGAACAGAGTCTGAGGATATTGAAGAGTGGGGATAATTGAACAGTAGTGGAAATGCTAGTGGAAAATATCAAGAATGTGCCTCTAACTTAGAATATATGTCAAACATCTAGGTACCAATTGTCCAGTTGATTGCTGTCTGGGTGACCCTTATTTAGCTCCTATGGGATGTTGAAGACACCTGCTCAAAATTTATGCACTGTATCACATTCATACCAGCTCTGTGTTCAAACCTGGCTTTAAACTTCATTGATACTTAGAAAGCAGCAATAAATTCAGAAAATATACTTTCATTCAGCCAAGAAAAGGAGACATTTAACACAACTTTGGTTTTGTTTGGTTTCTTTTATAAAATTTTCTAGCTCACATATGGCCCTGCTCCAGTAATGAATAAAGAAACCCAAGATGTATTTTTACAACAGATGTTTCCCAATGAGGTCTTACAACATCAAGGAATCCTTCTGTTACTTTTACATTTCAGGTGGACATGGATTGGACTTCTTTCTGTGAAAGATGAAGCAGGAGAGAAGTTTGTACGGGATGTAGTCCCCAAGTTCTCTCAGCATGGAATCTGCTTTGATTTTATGGAATGGTTCCCAAATGTAGCATTTTACAGTGATTTTATGGATGTGATGGATAAAGGATTTGAAATATATGAAATTCTCATGAAAAGCACAAGCAGTGTGATAATTATTTTTGGTGAACTTCGGACCATGTTAATTTTAAGAACACTTCTTCGTTTTTCAGAAGTAGAAGATTTAGGATTGAGAGAAAAAATCTGGGTTATGCCAGCACAAATGGATTTTACATCAGTGTCCTTGAACAAAAACTGGGATATATGTTTCATCCATGGTGCTTTGTCCCTTTCCTCTAATTCAAAGGAAGTGTTTGGATTCCAGGAATTTCTTCAGAGCAGAAATCCAACAACAGAACCACATGACGGCTTTATCAGAGATTTTTGGGAGCAGGTGTTTGAATGCTCATTTCCCAACACTAAAAAAAGAATTAAAAGACCTGAGAACATCTGTACTGGAGAAGAGAGATGGCAGGCCCTCCCTGCTTCTGCTTTTGAACTTAACATGAGTGGCCATAGTTACAATGTGTACAATGCTGTCTATGCCGTGGCACATGCTCTGCAGTCAATGCATTCTTCTAAATACAAGCAAAGAAATTGGATGAATTTGGAGAAGCAGAAGTTTCAGGACCTACAATCATGGCAGGTAAGTCTACACAGAGGTGGGATGCTACTGGTTCAGCCTGGTTCTATAGAACTGGTAGCTCTGAAGAGCAGTAGACACCGAACCGGTTCAGTGTGTACTGCTCTGTTTGCCCTCCATGCTCGCCTGGGCTCTTGGCTGTTCTTTATTTCCTGCTATTTCAACCTCAGCTGTGCTGCGCAGCACAGCTGAGGTTGAAAAAGCAGGAAAGAAGAGGAGTTTGAAATGCATACCCATGTGCAGTGCTTGTCAGCTTTTTGGGCAGCACAACTGAGGTTTTTTAGAAATGGTCTCCACACATGCACAAAATGCACTCTCACCAGAGGTGGGATTCTACCTGCTGGAGAACTGGAAAATGGCTGGCCCTGCCCCACCCTGCCCACTCACTCCTTTCCTGGCATGCGTACCATCAAACTTGCCTGCTAAATTGCTATTTTTCCTTTTTTTCCCCCTGACTATCAGCTCTTCTGCTGTTCCAGGAGATTTAGATTAGCTAGAAAGCAGGAAATTGTGGCATTTCTGGCTTTTTAGCTAATCTAAAAGCAGAGCTGAACCTTCATTAGGACTGCAGCTTCTATTTTTCAATGTAGTCTCAGGTAGCCAATGGCAGATAGATAGAACACTAAGTAAATCTGTGATTCTGTGAGCAACTCAAACTGCCTGCCTGCTTTGCCTGATTTTGGGTAAAAGTTGCTCTTTTTATATATAAAAAAAAAAATCAATACTTACATAGTGTGTTGTGAGTTAATTTGGTGAGTTTGCTTGTTAGCAAATTTTATGAGTTTGCTTGCAAGCAAATTTTATGTGACAGACTCAGGTAGCTGATTTCAGAAAGATAGATCTCTGAATGAATCTGTGATTCTGTGAGCAACTCAATCTTCCTACCTGCTTTGCCTGATTTTGGATAAAAGTTGCTCTTTTTTATAATAAATTCAATATATACATAAATATTTATAATATTTACATGGGGGACGAGCGGTCTGCCACCTCCAAGTGGTGTCCCCTGGATGCGCGAAGCCGTTAAACGCTGACCGTAACTGAGAGCAGACCCTCCGACGACAGGCCCATGCGACAGGCCGGCTGGAGTACTCAAATGCCGCGTCAACATGGTGGAAACGTCCACTACTGAACACACGCCCAATGCTACCGCGTTCGGGGGAACCGACGGGCGCAGGAGACCATTGGCCTGCGTCAAAAATCAACGAAATGGTCCACGCGGAAAGCACGGCGCACTTGCACCGTGTGAGAAAGCTATGACGGCCGCGTCCGGGTCTGACGCGCACGGAGACTACCCGATCCGTGTGAAAAATCGCAAGCGGGGAACAGAGGATTGCCAGACGCTCAAGGTGGCCACCTGCAACGTGGATTCGCTGACTGGACGCTCGACCGAGATCGTCAGGGCCATGCGGGAGAGGAAGCTGGACATCTGCTGCCTCCAGGAAACTCGCTGGAAGGGCAACAAGGCTACGACTATAGACGGCTATAAGATCATATACACCAGCTGTAAGGAAAACCGCGGCGGTGTAGCTGTGGTTGTCAGTCCCAGCTGGCAAAGCTCCGTTGCAGAAGTTAAGCGCCTCACAGAACGACTGATGATAATCGTCGTAGCAACCGAGAGGCAGCGCCTACACATCTTGTCCGCCTACGCCCCTCAGACCGGATGTCACGAGGAGGAGAAGGATACCTTCTGGGAACTGCTCGACATCCAACTCAGGCAGATCCCATATGAAAACGACATCATCATCTCTGGTGACCTGAATGGTCATGTAGGGCGGGACAAAAACGGACACCAGTGCCACGGTGGGCACGGCACAGGCGATATGAATGAGAATGGCCAGAGGATCCTGGACTTTGCCGAATCCCATGATATGACCATCACGAACACCTGCTTCATTAGACAAGAACCCCAACTCCTCACCTACCATAGCAGAAATGGGAACCACCACACACAGATCGACTACATCATCGTATGACGAAGAGCCGCTAAAAACGTGCTCAACGCCAAGGTGTACCCGTACGAATCGAGCAGTCAGCACAGGCCGCTGATGGCGAAGATCAGGATCAGCAAGCCCAAGACCAAGATTGACAAAAAGAATGCAGACCAGCCACGAATCAAGTGGTGGAACCAGAAGAAGATGGCAGGACCCCTCATCAAACCGGAGCAGTTCCTGCAGATGGTCGACGGGCCACAGGAAGCGTGGTCCATGCTGAAGAGCACTGTTCACACTGCCGGCTGCCAACAGCTTGGTTGTACCAAGCCAGGACGGAGACGCATCGAACGAGATACATGGCTCTGGACACCGGAAGTACAAGATGCCGTGCACCTGAAGAAACGGCTCTACAAGGCCTTTCTTCAGGACAAGACCAGCGAGAAGCTCTGCGAGTACAAGGCGGCCAAAAAGGCAGCCAAGAAAGCAGTAGCGACAGCCAGAAGCTCCCACTACGACGACATCTACGAGAAGCTGAACACGCGAGAAGGCGAGAATGAGATCTACCGCCTAGCCAAAAGCAGACACAGGAAGACCCTGGACATTGACCAGTTTCATGGGATCAACGACGAAAGGGGAAATTTGATCGTCAACCCCAGAGACGCTGCCGAGAGGTGGCGGCAATACTTCGAGAAGATCTCCACCGAGGAGTTCCCACACCCACGAACCCCGCGAGGTGACCCCGTCGAAGGCCCAGTCTCAGGCATTCACGCCAGCGAGGTCACCGACGCCATCAAGGCCATGAAAAACGGTAAGGCAACAGGACCAGACGACATCCCTGCCGACTTCTGGAAAAAGGCACTACCGGGCTCGGCATTGTGGCTGTGCGAGCTGTTCAACAACATCGTCTCCACGGGAATAGTGCCACACGACTGGTACCGCAGCACCACTGTTCCGATCTGGAAGGGAAAGGGCAGCCCAGCGGACTGCTCCAACTACAGACCGGTCAGGTTACTGTCACACACTATGAAGATCTTCGAACGCGTCCTCGATAAGCGCATTCGGGACATCGTCGACATCAGCGTCAACCAGGCCGGATTCATCAAGAACTGCGGCACCACCGATGCCATCTTCGGTGTGCGGATGCTGATGGAGGCTCACAGAGAGAAGAAAATCCCACTCCACACCGCCTTCTTGGACTTGGAAAAGGCCTTCGACCGAGTCCCGCACGATCTCATCTGGTACGCACTGCGAGATCACGGCGTGCCCGAGCTACTCGTACAATGGGTCCAACTCCTATACAGATGTCACAAAAGCCGTGTAAAAGCAGCAGCTGGGATATCAGAGGAGTTCAATATCACCGTCGGCGTACACCAGGGCTCTGCTCTCTCACCACTGCTGTTCATTCTGGTGATGGACACAATTACACACGACCTGCACACGCCCGCCCCATGGACGCTGCTCTACGCCGATGATGTGTTCCTGGCCAACCTGCGCAAGGCTGAACTCGAGCACCTAGTCCAACAGTGGCATGACCGCCTCGAGCAGTTCGGGCTCCGGTTGAACCTAAAGAAGTCCGAATACCTGACCACTGACAACGAAACGACAGGCTCCATCCACGTGAACGGGCAGGAGCTACCGCGCGCCTCCACCTTCAAGTACCTGGGAACTACTCTTGGGGAAGAAGGCCTACTACAAACTGAGGTGGCAGCCTCAATGCAGCGTGGGGCAAATGGAAGTCCGTCACGGGCGTCCTCTGTGACAAGAAGATGCCGATGCGCCTGAAGGCGAAAATCTATAACTCAGTGGTGCGCCCCATGGCCATATACGGCGCAGAGTGCTGGCCGACGACCAAAGAAGTCGAAAGCAGACTCCAGACAATGGAGATGCGAATGCTCCGATGGTCGGTAGGCCTCACCCTACTCGATCGCGTCAGGAATGAAGAAGTGCGCAGACGGTTCAACGTCGTGCCCATCCCCACGGTCATGAGGCAGTCCCGACTACGATGGTTCGGCCATGTGAGTCGCGCCAAGGAAGAATCCATCATCAAATCTGCGATGAAGGTGATTGTCGGAGGAGCGAGACCGCGTGGTAGACCTAAGCAACGCTGGATGGACACGATCAAGGCCGATCTAGAGATCGCGAAGGCAGACCTGACATACGTGGCAGACAGAGAGGCGTGGAAGCAGTACTCAAGGACATTAGCGGACCTCGCCAGAGCGCGAGACAAACGCTGAAGAAAAAGAAGAAGAAGAAGAATTTATAATATTTACATACAAGCCATGCCCAGTCAGCAAGCCATGCCCAGCCAGTCATATGACCACCAAGCCACACCCACAAATTAGGCCACACTCAGAACCAGTTAAGAAATTTGAATCCCACCCCTGAATCTACAGCAGAAAACATCAGAACAACATATAATATTATGTTTATAACTTTTGACTTAAATCTTGAAAAATTCTCCAGAACAAAATCTACTTAGTCTTTTTATTTAAATTCAATCTGCAAAAGACACTCAATATTCACAATACAAGCCTAAAAGATAGAATAAATTATTATATGCATACCCAAACAAACAAGCCTAAATATGCTCATATATACAAAGAATTTGACTATATCCAAGAACCTTGTGATCCTATGACTTTAAACATGCTGTAATATAAGATGAATTCTACATAAAACCCACCAGTGGACATTAGGAGACGCATCAGGATTGAGAGACTTCTCTGAGGTTTTCTTCTGTGCAGAATAGAGTTTATTTTATAGTCCCCATCCTGGTATGTTCAATTTGACATGCCAATTAAATAATTTGCCAAATGTTTTATAATTCTCCACACATGCATAAAATGACACACTTAAATGAACCATGCATCTGGAGAATAGATATATAATACCTGAAGGAGAACTAAAGAACAATCCAAGATGAAAAAGATATGCCATGTGCCATCAGCTGCGAAACAAATAAGGGCAATAAGTGTCCTTACAAACAACATAAACATTTTGGTGCAATCTTCTCATTCCATTAGATTGAATAGCACAGCCAGTAAAAGATTGCTATGGATGTTTTCCCAGGAT